CAGATTTGCGTCCTTTACGTGAAGGACGGGGAAGCCTTTAAAAGCTTCTTATATTGGCGATCCTGCTGCATCTTGGTCGAACGTAAAGCCGGAGCTAGGCACTTCCCAAGAGGTAATACCTTTCTTGGACTTTGACCCACCAGAGAATAACGATCCCCGCGCGCCGACAAGGGATACATCAAGCGGTATGAGCATAGTGAAGAGGTGATTTACGTCGTTGTACTAAATGTACAGAGCGTACGCTGCTGGCATGTATCGATAAAATTCGCCGAAGTTCGCAGCGGGGCGGAAGCCGTGAGCTGATGATATTAAGCCTGTTCTATTAAGCGTTATAGGCATACACCGCTTTATCTTAGAGAACAGAATACGTTAGCTCTTGATCTATAGTAGCACTACGCCAAAGAGAGAAACTAAATATCTCGCCTAAGCAGAGTACTCCTTCCTACTACAACAAAGCGCATTAGAGCGATAAAGACATACATAGAGAATCTAGAAGCCTACAATACTATAAAATTCTATGATCTCTCTTGTTAGGAGCTATTGTAGGCTACAAAGTAGAGCTTACTATCTCTACCTGTTTGGTTTTTCTCTTGTATAGGGTGGAAGGAAAGCTCTGCGCAGTTGGACACATACATCTGGGTGGCAATGCATTATTGAACGTGCGACCAGGGCAGCAGCAGACTTCCTCGCATCTTCATAGCTCGCTACATCAAGCCTGAACTCTGCATCGTCTCTGCAGGGGGGCGTTGGCGTTGCTGTGCTCTTAAGGAGACGGGATAGGGTTCTTGCGAGCTCAACAACCTTGACCTCGATAGCTTCCGAAGTAACGCGGACGTACGATTCTTCGCTGCAATATCGTGGCATGATAGGGAAAAACGGTATCAATCTTTAGTCGGTAACCTAAGAAGGGGTTGTAATCTTCTTTGTCGCTTAGATATCTTGAATCAATGGGCGCATCGTTAAGTCGTCTTCGTGTCTCGATGTACTTGATGATTCCCCAGCTGTCTGATGTATTCTTGTCTGCTTGTGTCGAGTCTCGCCCATCTAGAACATCAGACTGCTCTGCCTCAACGTCATGATCCATCTCTTGCGCGACTGCGTCCCACGTCAAGTCATCGCCTCCGTAATCAGTGTCTTGGTCGCCTTGGGTGTTGTTGAAGCTGTCGTCTGAGTTTGCCATATTGTGACTAGTTGCGAACGTCGCGCAGCCTTTGAAGAGAATGTCAAAAAACCTCTAGTTGGTGTGTGGATACTAGTGATTTGAGATCCGACAGTAGATGAGAGGCAAACAGAGTAGATGAAGTAAAGAAGAGTGGGTGAAGTAATGAAGAGTGTAAGACGGGCGAGCCACAGGTATACAGAACACGGTGAGGTGAAGGTACAAAAAAAGTGGGCACCAAATCGAGTAGGTGTCATTAGTCCACGTGCTTTGTGTAGTTCTCATGCGCTCACTCTTCTCCTCTCGTTTGCACGTCGGCAGTGTTGCTATAAGGTCAATTCGCTCAACCTAGTCGACATCGCACTCACCGCCCAACGCCGCACTCACCTCTCAACACCGCACCTCTACCTCAACTTGCTCTGCCACCGTCACCGCTATAACCTGCGCTGTACGCGCAGCTTTCGCCGCGAACATCCACCAGTTTAAGCCGCTCCACGCCAGCGTCCTTGCCGTCGACCCACAGAAGCCACGCCAACTCGCAGACCTTACTCCAGTACAGGATCTAGCTGAATGCATGTTCTCTTACTGCTGACATCGTATTCAGGACATGAGCGCCACCAAGGCTCTCGCCGCTGACGACAGACATAACCCCTCCTACTGGGAACCGCGGGCTGGCTACCCTCCACCTTCGACGCTTTTCTACACAGGCGGACCAGTCGGAAATCGAAAGAAACCACACTACACGAAAGGAATATATGTTCAAGGCCTGAATATAACCTGCGGCAAGTACCTTCGCCAGCGGGAGCTTACGGTTAAGGCGATCTGGACATCCTTAACATCACCGACAAAATTGGATTCAAGCACGCAATGGAAAGGCTATACCAATGGCACTACAACCGACTATTTGGCCCCAAGGCCAGTGGTGATCGCAAGAGCGTTCCAGAGTTCTGGCGCGATACCATTCTCCGAGCCTTTGCGGCTAGGCAGCTGCGCTGGACGAGGAAACACCGTCTCCAACTCAACGAGGATGGTACTATCGAGAATCTACCGTTGAAGGCTTCCTGGCGCTGGGGTCCACACCGCGAGGGTCCTGAGTTCAACGGACTTTTTCAACCCCAACATCTTACTTTATCTGTGGTCGTCCCTAGGGACGAAGTGCACATTACAGTACAAAGCATTATCGACAACAATCGCGACAACAGTCCCTACATTCCTACCCCTAAGGATGTCAACCCCGCCCAAATCAGCTACGCGAAACTACAACAAATAATAGCAGCTACCGACAATTCTCCTTACTCTCCATCAACACATGAGCTATCATACCTGCATCCAGATCTAGCAACACACTTCGTGGAGATAACAAACAATGAAACCCTAGTAGACGCATTGCGTCATTGCCAGGAGTACATGAACGAGATGGTCGCAGTCTTTATGATACCTAGAGGGACAGAGAGCAAGACTAAGACGTTTACTACGAGTACTGAGAACATCGCTGTTTTACCAGAGCCTCAGAAGATAGAGAAAAAAAAAAGAGACGATGCTAAATAACGTTCAAAGCTAGTACAGAATTTGTGCAGACTGTGCGGTAAATAGGAAACTGCTTTATGTATCGTGGGATAGCAATACAAGGCTTTCACAACGCGATCAATGATCTGCCGACTACCTAGGTACTCTTTCACCGGTACTTCTCTCTTGCTGCGACTCGTCTGATGGTTACACAAAAAGCGCCGATAGACTCAGGTTGAGTCACCTACACGTGTGCACAGTGCGATCCGTGGATCACTAAACGCAACGCGCTGACAGCCTTCAGTGGAGTTAAGGATGTTGCTTTCGTTGGACACTATTTGCAAAACGCTGACAGCCTCAAGGTCGAGATCGGAACCTGGTGCCGACCGTCGATAAGTCGGGATGCCCATTATGGTAAAGATGCACCCTGCCAAGTGCGGTTTCCGCTTGACGCCAAGGTCTTCTCACGGCGTCGTAATCGTTCATCGCAACGGTGTTTCCTTGACAGTTTGCCGACGAAGTTCCAATTGGTCGGAGTACTCCACAGCCTTTAGGCGAGCAACGACGAGACTTCACGTGCTTTCTTGGCCGCCCCGAAGCCCTTGTTGCGCTCCATTGCCAAGTATGATTCTAGCTTCCGCCGAGAAGCCAATGCCTGCCTGTGCCCACAATGACATAGTCCCAGAGATGTCTTGTTGGGTAAACACACAACTCCATGTCTTGGTACGGCCGCCCCGTGCCTGATCTCGATGTACAGTTACATGCGCCAAACGCGCAGGATGGTGTGGAGAATCCATGGGGATTGTCACCCCAGAGCAAAACCTGACCCGCTCTTTGATGGAGAGAAAAGTGGGTGTGAGCTGTGCCCCCGGGATCCTATATAACGAGACCCTCTTGGTTCGCAGGTGTATGATCGCGTGTCTCTCAACTCATCCACTTTGCGATCGGGTATCTCCACTTGATCCAGGAGTTCCAACCTAGATTCGATTTCTGGTTCTAGCCATCACCATGTCTGGTCGCAAACCCGACATCGAAGCTACAGAGCCTGCCTTCTCATCGTCAGGTAGCAGCAAGTCCGACCTTGGTACTACACAGCACCACGAACATACCGGACCTGGTCAGCACCGACAAGCTTCCGTTGCCGCAAAGCTTCGAAATCCATTGGCAGGTCTTAGCGAAGAACAGGTTATAGCCGATGTAGACGCGTGGTGTGTTGAAAAGGGCCTGCAAGCGGACCAGGACGCGTTTCGCAAGGGCGCGCTCATCGCTCGAGTAGGGCAAAGAGACGATGGCTTCGAATATGTCGATCAACTGTCGACAGAAGAGAAAGATTTACTACGGCATGAGATCAATCATCGATGGTCTCAGCCTAAAATGCTGTACTTCTTGGTTGTACTCTGTGCTGGCTCTGCCATCGTACAGGGTATGGACCAAACAGCCGTCAACGGCGCTCAGGTTCGTCGCGTTATTGCTTCCATGTCATATTCTTATAGTACTGACGATTAATCAGGGATTCTACTTTGAGGAATTCAACATCGGACCGGACCAAGTCTGGCTTCGAGGTCTGCTTAATGGAGCCCCGTATCTCTGCTCTTGTCTCATCGGTTGCTGGTCCAATGCGCCTCTTAACAAGTATTTCGGACGTCGTGGTACCATCTTCATCTCCTGTATCATTTCCTTCATCACCGGTATCTGGATGGCAGCTGCCGATAGCTGTGAGTAACGTTTTCCTAGCTACACCAGAACCCAAGATTGACTTTTGACCTAGGGCCAAATCTCCTCGTGGCGCGCTTCATGCTCGGTTTCGCGGTTGGCGCAAAGTCATCGACAACTCCTGTCTACGCAGCCGAATCTGCGCCCAAGACCATCCGTGGAGCACTTACCATGATGTGGCAGATGTGGACGGCATTCGGAATCATGCTGGGTTTCATCGTTTCCGTTGCATTCCAGAACGTGACGATTATTGGCGGACCAACTTCTCCATGGAGGTGGATGTTAGCCTCCACCAGTATTCCTCCAATGATTGTCTGCATCCAAGTATACTTTTGCCCAGAATCACCGCGCTGGTAAGTCACGGGCCTGTATTCAAACAGCTCGATTGTGAGCTAACGAGAGTCGAAGGTACATGGAGAAGGGCAAGTTCGACAAAGCTTTCCACGCACTTTGCCGACTGCGTAAGCACAAGATACAGGCTGCACGCGATATGTACTACGCGTACAAGCTTCTCGAGATCGAGACCGCTGAGCGGGAAGGTAGGAATGCGTTCAAAGAGTTCTTCACTGTCCGTCGCAATCGTCGCGCCGCACAGAGTGCTTTCTTTGTTATGTTCATGCAACAGTTCTGCGGAGTCAACGTACGTACTATGTGCTGTTTCATTCGATTCTATTCATCATTCGCTGACAGTATTGACAGGTCATCGCCTATTATAGTACCGCGATCTTCGAAGAAGCTGGCTTCACGACATCCGAGGCTTTGCTTACGTCTATGGGTACTGGCATAACGAATTTCCTTTTCGCGATCCCAGCAATCTATACGATTGATACCTTTGGACGAAGGAATCTACTACTCACCACATTCCCACTTATGGGTCTTTGTCTTCTCTGGTGCGGATTATCCTTCTACCTACCGGAGAACCCCGATGGCACACCAACTCAGCAACGTCTTGGTTCAATCGCCGCTGCTATCTACACATTCATGGCTGTCTACTCGCCTGGCGAAGGCCCAGTGCCCTTCACATACTCGGCCGAAGCGTTCCCGCTTCATCTACGCGACGTTGGAATGTCTTTCGCCACTGCAACATGTTGGGGATTCAACTTCATATTGTCCCTCACCTGGCCTGCCCTTAGCGCCGCTTTCACGCCGACTGGTGCGTTCTGTTGGTATGCAGCTTGGAACTTCTTTGGTTTCTTCTACGCCTACTTCTTCCTACCAGAGACCAAGGCTCTTACTCTGGAAGAACTCGATACTGTTTTCGACGTGGGTAACCGCCAGTTCTCGGCCTACTATAGTAAGAAGTTGCCATGGTACTTGAAGAAACACGTTCTACGTCAGGATGTTGCGCCAATGGAGCCGCTTTTTGAGTTCCACGAGACAGGCTCCCGTGCTGACTACGTTAATGAACCTATTGGTGGTGGCGGTGGAGCTGGTGCGGTGGAAGACAAGAACATCGTAGAGAAGGACGAGGTGACCAAGATGTGAACGTCTTCTCGATGCAAGCCTCGAAAACCGACATGCAACCCCTTTGAACATCTTCACAGCTCGATGTAATGGTGTGGTCTGTCGATGTAATCTGATGAGTGATTCTCTCCTCATACTTAGCAAGTTCGTTATACCCTGATCGTTCATGATATCAATCGAAAAATGAAACATCCTTGAATACTCTCCCTGTGCAAACACCCTACTCCCGAGATTCGGCCAAAGGTGTCAACGTAGACATACGCTGGGCGCTTAGATACTATGGGTTCCAGGGTCTTTAGGCACATCATCAAATTTCTGCTTCCTCTTCTTATTCGTGGAGCAACTTCCCGTCGGTCAAACAGCAGCTTCGTTAGCTTCCGGAACCACGATCAGTGCGAGGCATTGAGGTCGGAGTTGTGCGTCAGTGGGCTGGTGAAGTTCGATTGCATTTGTTGCTAAGGTGGCTGTTGGGTGTACCACTGAGCTTTTGGTTGTGCGCGGACATATCCGGGATATCATGTGAATCCTTCCCTTACTATGGTGCCGTAGACGAAGGAAATTTGGTGAGCCTGGAGAAGAAGAAAAATAACGCCATCGATACCCATTAGGGCAGTGGTGCTAAAAGGTGAGTGATTAAACACGACAAACACGTAATAAGCTTTGACCTTTGATACATCAACATATTAGGTAAAGATAACCTGAATGAGACAAAATGTATTGGTGACAATGCATATACAACGTGAGTTTGTGATAGCAAGAACATCGAGAAGCGATTAAACTCATGGACCTCCAGTTTCTGCAATCTTCTTCTCCTGCAAAACCCTTTTATCTTGTTTCTGCACCGCAACAGTCTTGTTGGTGTATTTCCTCTTATCCACGGACGGAATGAAGAACGCGGCCACCACACCCAGTAGTCCAAACGCCAGTGCTACCAGATACGACAAGTGTGCACCCTCAAGATACGCTTGCTTGTTTCCTAAGCTCGCGGCAGCACGAATAGCAGGGGTGATACCAGGAATAGTCGCGTACCCAGCCGCAGTGTTCGCCTTCGCAGCGACAATCAATTTGGTGATGACGTCCGCCGGAAGATCAAACGAAGCGAGATTAGCACGAACGCGTTCAGGTAGAGCATCCGCATATTTGTTATTCGTGACATTCCCGAAGATGGCAGTGGCCACCGCGCCAGCGAGGAGACGAGAAGTTCCTGCCAGACCTGCAGCAGTGCCGATGTCTTCTTGATACACAATACCGAAACCTACCAGGACCATGCCGTTGAGAAGATTGACAGAGGTACATGTCGAAATGATGACTGTCAGGACGATTGACTTGGCGGGATTGTCCATTGTGGAGGTGGACATGGCGCCTACACAGGCTGTTTGTAAAGCGACGGCGAACATGATGACCCAACGCTGATGACCGATAATCTTGCTGAAAGCTACAATGATGCCGCCGATGATGGTTCCTAAAGGTAGGACCTCAGCGTACAGGCCTTTGGAGATTTCGTCGCTAGCGTAGATGAGCTGGGAAAGGCGAGGCCAGAGCGTTGCGTTGGAGTAGTATTGCATTCCGCCTATGGCCATGACGAGCATTGGAACAGTAAAGTGACGGAGGGCTCTGAATAGACGTGGCGGAAACAAGGGCGCGGCTTGGGTATGGTAGGCTTCATAGAATCCCAATCCGATCAACGTCACCAGTCCAATGATGATGGGTGCGAGAACCGTCGCAGAAACCCACGGAGCCATTGTTCCCCCCCAGCTAACGCCAACGATAAATAAGGTACAGCCAGCCAGGAACAGAAACAATCCCAACCAGTCAAACTCTCGCAAAAGCTGTCCAGCCGACTTTCCGTGTTCAGCCCTCTTCTCTTTCCATGACGGCGGATGGTAGAAGAAAACGAGTAGGGCAAGATTGATGGTCTGGAAACCTATCATGACGTAGTAGCAGATGCGCCAATTACCCGTCTGCTTGATGATGACCCAGCTGACTAACGGCATGATTTGTGATATGATCGAAGCAGCGTCGAATAACCCGATGGTAACATGTCGATATTTGCTCGGTACAATCTCTTGGACCGCACCAAATGCCATCTCCAGGAATCCGGAACCGCAGCCGAACAAAGCACCACCGGCGATCATTTGGTTGATGCTTTGTCCCGTTGCCGAAACAATGCTGCCAATGATAAGAATCACAGCTCCCGCAATGAAAAACCATCGTCGACCGAATATATCGGAGAGTCTTCCACCGACGGTGACGAACATGGCGCCGCCGAGGTTCCATGATATCGTAATCCATGTATATCTGGGATCTGGACCAAGTTCGGCATTGATGTACGTAAGGATGGCTGGCGGGATGAGGAGAGTGAATAAATAGGCGTTGTAGCACATAGCCATTGATACAGCGGCCATCAATGTGCGAACTACTCTGTGTTAGATATGATAGGTGGAGAAGGCGTCTGCCAGTCAGGATACGCACAAGTCAAGCCCACATCTTCGCCGGTGGTCTGTAAATGACGGACGATTTGCTCGTTGGCGTCATTGCTGGAGAAGCGGTCGTCTTGATCAGATGTGTTCGTGCTGTCGTCGAGCGCTTCGATATATGCCGCCGAGGACTCGTTCTCCCCCTTTGTGGCCATGGTGAAGTAAGGCAAAGGAAGATCTGGACGATGTTATCTGAAAATCTCTAACGCTGAGCTTGAAGGATCGGCGGCATCCTATATACCACCCTCACCATCCGGTACGTCCGTTGGTTGCTATGGCCCGCTCGCTACCCCAGGATTAACCCCAAATCGCCCCACTGACGCATGGAGATAGCGACATGCCACTTATGCACCAGTAAACGATTCACATTGGGGTATAATTTGGTCCTCTACTACAGAATAAGCGAGAGCACCGTCATTGCCGGTCACGGTAAAGAACAGCATGGTGTGTGGCGTAATCTGGAAGATCTCATTGGTTAGCGCTTCTCCAGTCGGAAAAAGATAGCCAATGCCTGTTTCCAGTCCACTCGAGGATGGCTATCGTTGTCCTGCTATGCAACCATCAAAAAGAGATCGCTCGGGGGCTTTGATGGCTGCCGTTGTTGTAGTGTAATTGATGTCACCGCGCGGTTTTCCCAACATTCCATCTGTGGTGCGAGAGTTTCGCGGTCCATCAGCTTTGCGATGGAATGCTTGGAGCAATTCATCCGCCCTTGTAAAGTGAGTCGTGCATTAGTCTGACTCGATAGTATAAGAGGAACCCGAAAGAACGAACTCGATAGTGAGAAAATAATCAATTTGTGTCATGACCGGATATCGCGAGTATTTCGTAACGCCTTCAAATGCTGCTTTTATTAACGCCACCCAATGAAAGAGATGTCGGAGCTTATAGCGCCTCGAGTTCGAAATCGTCCAGCTTGTCGCGGTACTTCATAATGTTGCGCTTGATCTTGGAGGAATCGACCCAGGTAACAAAATCTTCCATGTTCCTTGTGACAAGGTAGGCTGGATCCGTGACGACGTCCGTACCGACTCTGACGTGCTGTGAATGTGTTAGTACTCGAGTTTGTGATTGAGAGCTGACTGGGATCTTACTCCTTGTTCAACGAGTGTGACAGCAGACTGTACGTGATCTGCCATGCGTAGCCGAGTCATGACAACTGGTAACCTCCTCCGTGCAAATGCCGACACGGTAAGCTTGTGTTCGACGTCTGAGAGTTTTCCACGGCCGCCACCACCGGTACCGAGCAGACCCATGGAGAACAACTTCTCCAAGATCAAGTCCTCCTGCTTGTGACGGAAGGGGTCGGACGGATCGAGAGCGGCTACGCGGTGGGCAAGTTGTCGCAGGGATCCCGCGAGCTGGTTGTATTTTCGGTAATCGTCGCGTCCTTGGATTGCATAGCGGCGCATGACGGCTGCTTCCCGGTGATCATTGTCGCTCTTGTACGTGTTGAAGTCGACCTAAAAGAACATGTCAGTGTCATGGAACTACTATCAAGCATCTTTTCAAGCGTCTGATGCGCTCGACATGTCGCCATTGACAGTGAAGAGAATGGCGTATCCAGACGGCGATGCGCTACAGCCGCGGCGGGTAACGGGCGGTCCGTACCTTCTTCAGGAGCTTCTGCTCATGATGCTTTAGCTTTCGCACCATGTTGGCGTTGCGGGTACAGGGTTTCGGTACGTGATAGAGGTGGTGGTTGTTTCTTCGCGCATCTGTCGCGAGACGATGAAGCCAAAGAATTATTTGACAGGGGTCCGCGGGCACTAGCGGCTAGCGCCATGACTGCCCCTCCAATGACGGCGGGGTGCATCCAAATTTCCTGTGACTGTTCGAGTCCAACACTCTTACACTCATTCCTCTACTCACCTGTCCAGCCATGCCGACTGTTCACCTACTCGACTACGTCGCGGGCAACGTCCGCTCTCTCGTCAATGCCATCGAGAAGGTTGGCTACACCGTCGAATGGGTCAAGACGCCCGCCGACGTCCCCTCCGCCGAGGTACTACAACCTTGCCACGAAGAAACGCGCATCAATTGACAAATGCTGATACAGCATCGCCCGTAGAAACTTATCATTCCCGGCGTCGGCCACTTCGGACACTGTCTCTCCCAGCTGGAGAAAGCTGGCTACGCCGACCCGATTCGCGAACACATCAAGTCAGGGAAACCGTTCATGGGAATATGTGTGGGCATACAGGCCTTGTTTGAGAGCTCAGAGGAAGATTCTCAGGTCAAAGGTCTAGGTGTTATTCCTGGGCGACTACGCAAGTTCAAAGACACAGACAAGAGCGTACCCCACATCGGATGGAACAGCGCAAACACATCGCGCACCGCCCGAGTCACGGATGACTCATTATACGGCCTGCGACCGACTTCCAAGTACTACTATGTTCACACATACGCTGTGCCATACGAGGAGGGCAAGTTGGAGAAGGAAGGCTGGACCGTCGCAACCGCACGATACGGTGACGAGGAATTCGTTGGCGCAGTAGCCAAGGGGAACGTCTTCGCCACGCAGTTTCACCCTGAGAAAAGTGGTGCTGCCGGCCTACGCGTACTGAAGGCCTTCTTAGAAGGAAATATGTGGCAGAAACTCCCAGAGAAGCCGTCGGCGGCTGAGACGAAAGAAGGACTGACAAGACGCGTCATCGCGTGTCTTGACGTACGGACAAACGACCAGGGCGATCTCGTAGTGACAAAAGGTGACCAATACGACGTCCGCGAGAAGGAGGGAGCCGGGAATGCAGTGCGCAACCTGGGTAAACCTGTCGAAATGGCCAAGAAATACTACGAACAAGGCGCCGACGAAGTCACCTTCCTGAACATCACATCCTTCCGCAACTGCCCCGTAGCCGACACGCCTATGCTCGAGATCCTGCGCCGAACCAGTGAGACCGTCTTCGTTCCCCTGACAATTGGCGGAGGCATACGCGATACAGTAGACACAGACGGGACCAAGATCTCCGCCTTGGACATTGCGACCATGTACTTCAAGTCTGGCGCCGACAAAGTAAGCATAGGCTCTGATGCTGTGACCGCAGCCGAGGAATACTACGCACGAGGTAGCAAGCTAGCAGGCACCACTGCCATAGAAGCCATCTCCTCTGCATACGGCAACCAAGCTGTCGTCATCAGCGTGGATCCAAAACGCGTATACGTCTCCTCACCAGACGCCACACCCCACCACACTATCAAGACCTCGACTCCTGGACCTAATGGTGAGGAGTACTGCTGGTACCAATGCACCATCAAGGGCGGACGCGAGGGCCGCGACTTTGACGTCCGACAACTCGTCACTGCAGTAGAAGCCATGGGCGCTGGAGAGATTCTGCTGAACTGCATAGACAAAGATGGAAGTAATAGTGGGTTTGACACTGAGCTCATCAACGATGTCAAGAACGCGATCAAGATTCCGGTCATCGCAAGCAGTGGCGCGGGACACCCAGGCCATTTCGAAGACGTCTTTGCAAAGACAAAGACTGATGCTGCGTTGGGTGCTGGAATGGTGAGTACACCGAAAGAAAAAACACAGCATAGATGTTACCAAGATACTGACGACTTTTCTAGTTCCACCGAGGCGAATACACAGTCAAGCAAGTCAAGGACCACCTCCAAGAAAAGGGACAGGTCGTGCGGCCGTTTGAGAATGACATCTAAACGCTTCCGACGAACTGGGTCGTACTTGTCTAGTATTTCGTAAACATGTATATATACAGAAGTAGAGTTTCTCCGCCAGACATAGCATGGACCAGTGGACATACAAGTACTCATCGTACTGCCGTATCGACACACGAACATGACTTCCTACATGTAGATCCCAAAACCACGCTCCCCGCGTTGTAAATGGTCGTGCCGTACACACCAAATGATATTCGTACAGGTTCTCTGCGAAGATCTAAAAGCGTTGAAATCACTTTTGTGGCCTCATTCCCAATGTGTTGTTTTCGCATCAAAGATTCGCTCATTTCCTCCTCTTCATGACCTTGGTGCACATTTCGATGAGACCGGTTTTCGCCTCGCTCTCGGGGAAGAAGGATATAGCGTCGATGGCTTTGTCGACATAGTCTTGTGCTAGAGCGCGGGTTTGTTCTAACCCTGTGCTTTGGGAAACGATTTCGCGAGCCTGGGTCACGTAAATGTCAGCCTGAACCTACTCTCCCAACATCTCAATTACGATTCTTTTTACTCACCCGTTGAACATCGCCCTGCTGCGAGAACTTCCTTCCAACCAACTTGCCCAAACTCTGGTCATCCTTCCATGCAAACAGCAACGGCGCCGTCGCAAGTCCGAGTTCCAAATCTGCGCCGGCCGGCTTACCCAACTCAGCCTCACTGACAGTGTAATCCAGCATATCGTCCACAAGTTGAAACGCCAGGCCAAGGTTCTTGCCGTACAGATACGCCGCCTCGACGACCTCAGGGGACGAACCTCCCAGGATAGCGGCAGCGCGACAACTCTTGGAAATGAGCGACGCAGATTTGAGGTAGGTCTTTTGCAGGTAGTAAGTGACCGTGTCTTCGGTCCACGAAGGGTTCTTCTCATCCCGCGCCGTGTTCTTGAGCTGCATGAATTCGCCTTCGACCAGGTTTGCGATGACGGTAGCCAAAAGTTCCGTGACCTCTGGATCGCGGAGTCGGGCCAGCGCAACGGACGCTCTTCCGAGCAGGAAGTCGCCTGCTAGAACGGCCATTTTGTTGCCAAACTCAATGTTGGCCGAGGGCGCGGAGCGGCGGGAGACGGAGTGGTCGATGACATCGTCGTGGAGGAGACTGGCTGTGTGGATGAGTTCGGTGATTTCTGCTAAGCGGCGTTGGGACGGGAGGATGTCGCTGTCTTCAGCGGTATACGCCGAGTCGTGTCGTATACTGCTAATGGGACTCTGATCTGGGTTCTCGTCTGCCAGGATCCGGGGGTTGGTTATCGAAATATCGGCGCTCTGGGCCCCGATGCCCATGCCTCCTCTTGAACCCCGCGGCGTAAGTGCCGTGGCTCTGCTCATGAGCAATACCAACATGGGCCGTACATATTTCCCCTCACTTTGTGTGTAGTACTTGGCGACTGTGTCGAGGGTCGGGTGGCCCGAGCCGAGTAATTGTCGAATGTTTCCAGTGAGAAACTTCATTTCGCGAGCAACGGTTTGGAATGGGT